GTTGCGTACCTTAGTTCGAATTAGGGGGGTAGTGTAGACCAAGCCTAAGTTGAGACTGTTTCTTAGACGTGGTTGTATCAAAGTAGATGAGTTCTCATTGATTAAACTAGGGCTGACAAAGGATATAAAAAATAAATGCAGTTGATCGCGAGATTATAAAAATAGTCACTGTTAATCGCAGGTTTAATCACACTGTTAAACAATAATAGAATACCAATTTAAATGTATTATGAATATTTAGGATGTTTTTCTACATTTTCAAATATATTGATTTCAATTACAACACAGAATACAAAGCGTACAGCGCTCAAGTTTATTTTGTATTCCAGTATTTTCACTGTAAAAAATAATTTAAAAGGATAATGCAATCTATATGTCGAAGCATGAAGGGGCATACGAATGCTTAGCATATTTGGCAGGTAAATACCTTGTAACAACGGCTACTACAGTGCAATGTGAACACCTGTTCTCACTTTCAAGTGACATTGTAAATAAGAAGGTGTCAGCATTATCGCCCATCAATGTAAACAAATTTATTTGTCTTAGTGATTGGCTGAACAAGAAGTAGGACTGAGAGGACTTGTAGGATCTAAAGTTGTAAATTGTTTTGGTTTTGAGTGCAGTTATGTAAAAAAAAATTCTTCATTTGTAAGTTGCACTTTCACAATAAAGAGATTACACTACAGTACTTGTATGAGGTAAACTGAAAAATACTATTTCTTTTGTTTCTCTTTTACAGTGCAAATATTTGTAATAAAAATAATATAAAGTGAGCACTGTCTTCTTTGAAATCAAGATATTTTAAAATGTAGAAAAACATCTAAAATATGTATAATAAATGTAAATTGGTATTCTATTATTGTTTAACAGGGTAATTAAAACTGCAATTAATGGCAACTATTTTTTTAAATCTAGTTAATTTGTTTGGCGTAATCGCTTGATTTAACTGCAATTAATTGATAGCCCTAATTGAAACATTGGAGAAAATAAGTTATATAAAGTAGAGCGAAGCTGGTGCTGACCTGAAAACTGCACCAAAAATTCCAGGGATAGCTGAGTCACTCAATCTGCCTTGCACCTGAATTAATTACAGTTGTATTTCAACACCTGCAAAAATGAGATGAAGATGAATAATGGGTGTTGGACTAAGTGTTGTTTTATCAGCACTGGTGCTATAGCATGAAGCAAAGAAACACACTATGTCATAGAAGAGATGGAAGAAAAAGCAACCAGACAGAGCGAAATGAGTCATAATGGTAATGTGGATCTTCTTTTTCTCAGAGCTCCATATCTCAACTGTCTATGGAGCTATTTCCTACATTTATTTGGTGTCATTACTGATGACTGGTTTAGATTCAACCCTGTTTTTTAAAGGGTTTCCTCTCCCTTCTGGGCAGTTAGCTGCAGAGAGATTCTAAGGACTATTTTTTGAAATGGCCTTCAGTTTACCTTTACATTTGTCAGGGGCGGCTCCAGGCACCAGCATAGCAAGCACGTGCCTGGGGCGGCAAGCCGCAGGGGGCGACCTGCCGGTCGCTGTGAGGGCAGTCACCAGGCTGCCTTTGGCGGCATGCCTGTGGGAGGTCCGCCGGTCCCGCGGCTTCGGCGGTAATTCGGTGGCGGGGATGCTGAAGGCGCGGCACCAGCAGACCTCCTGCAGGCATGCCGCTGAATCCACGTAGCCAGCGGGCGTGCCACCGAAAGCCACCTGACTGCTGTGCTTGGGGCGGCAAAAACCATAGAGCCGCCCCGACATTTGTACACATACAATGGACTGTGCCTGCAAAAGTGACAGGACACCCATTTAGGGTCTCGTTCAACCAGAACTAAGTGCTCGGTTGAACCGGGACCGACTTAAGCATGTGCTTAGGTGCCTTGCTGTGTTCAGGTTTAAGGGCCTTATCCTGAGAAATGCTGAACAGCTGCAAGTCACACCTAGGGTGACCAGACAGCAAGTGTGAAAAATCGGGACAGGGGGTGAGGGGTAACAGGAGCCTAGATAAGAAAAAGACCCCAAAATCAGGACTATCCCTATAAAATTGGGACATCTGGTTACCCTAGTCCCACCTCTCAAGATGTGGCTCTGAATACATGCATTCGCATGTCCGAACAAGGGAAGTAGGTAATAAACTGCCAGACTCGGGTATGCGAGAAATGGACGTCTGCCCACACATGCAGGTGCCATCCACTGTATGTGTAAGCTACTGGAATGAGCTACATGTCTCCCTCCAGCCCCCGAGCCCAGTTTGCAGAAGATACAGCTCTGTTCCAGTATGAGCTAGAGCTGAGGCTGCTTGTCCTTTTAGTTCTGGAGGTTCCCCAATTCAGACCCCAGGATGTTGGCTAAGATGGTGACCATCACTCAGACACAAAAGGAGGGGAATGAACCTTGGAAGCATGCTTGAAAAGAGTTACAGATCTAGCCCAAGGAGCTCACTCTTCTTGGAAGCTCAACCTCTCGCCCCCAGAAAATGTACCTTCAAACGATTTTGGAGGTATTTTTAGGCATGTCCTCTAATTTTCCCCCTTGCAAATGCAATTAGTTGCATGTGTGTATCATCCAATTGCACAATTGCAAATGCCTTTTTGTGCAATCTTTATTTGGGGTACAATATCAGAATCTGAGGCTAAAGCAAGCTGAGATGTTTCCCTGAAGAAATACTTCATTCCAAATGTTGTCTCTGTTTGAAGGGTCGCTTGTGATGTCAGTTCCCTCATCCTCTCAATCTCTCACGTGAAATAACTGCCCATTTCTCTCATCTCTGCTGGAGCCAAACACAGGCAGTGAAGGTGATCAAAAAATCATAGGCTTCAAAGGCAAATTGAAAGCATTATTTTAAACCCTTTGACAAAGCTGACCCAGCCATTACAGGAAAGTGGTCCTGGATACCAGAATAAATTTCATTTCCATACTTGCTGGTTTTGGAACTGATTTAGCCCATCTAGACCAAAAATTAAATGCAACATTGGTTTTTGTCCCTTACACTGAAAAGTTATGAGCATTACTTACGTGGTTCATTAAGTTACACTGTACAGAAATATTGCCTTAAATCAATTAATTCCTTAAGTAGTGACTCTACTGTAGCTTCTTTCAAAGTCCCTCTCACTCTATCCAAACTCTGAGAAACCTAGAACAAGACTTCGCCTTATAACACAGATTAGATGCACTTCTTCAGCTGTCGGCCCATACTGTAGATTGATTCTCTGTGGTATGAGATTAAGGGATACTGAGATAACTAGATACAGAGGCACCATTAAAAAGTCAACATTTGCCAGTAGTTATCCCACTGTGGTAGTGGAGATACTGCAATTATTGTCTAAGACCCGGTTCAACAAATCACTGAAGTATGTGCTTATCTCCCGTTGACTTCAAAGTTAAGCACGTGCTTAAGTGCTGTGCTGAACTGGCGTCTAGGTAAGTAGAAAGACTGAAATATTTCAGATACAAAAAGGTCATAACTTTTGACAAATGGAGACCACGGAAGCCTGAAACAATCTGACAAGATTATGCAGGAAACAACTCACGCCAATTTATTAAACTAGACATGTCTAGATTGTTTCACAACTCCATATTGTTGGCTTTAGAAAGCATTCCCCTATGTTGTCTATAGATGATTTTAAAAAGTGGTATGGTAGTCCATTCTCCAGTCTGCACATGATTCTGTATGCACATTTTAATAAACGGCCTATCCTGAGTAGTTAGCAGAAAAAGGACAGCCATTTGATGAAAGGACTAATGAGTCAGAAGCTATGCTGTCTTGGCATGTAAAGCATTTGGGTTCCAGTCAGATGGTCTCTCTTCAGTCAAAGGCACTTTGGTTGATTGTGTTTGCTTTCTCTCCTCATTGAGGATATTAGAACTGGCCAAGGCATCAAGTGTGCATCCAGATCCAAACTTTCCCAGCAAATAGTGGGGGGTTCATTCTTGATCACTGAAGAATATTTAAAATCCAGCTTCATGTCAGTCTTTGGAGTATCAGGATCTAGCTTATCTACTAGCCTTCTAGCTCACTGTAATTAGAGTTGGTTGGAATTTTTTTCTCCTCTATGGGCTAGATTTCCCTGGCTGGACTACATTGCCCATGATGCACCATGGTATCCTTTCTATGTGAGATGATGTGGTGCATTGTGGAAGATGTAGACTGTAGCCTGGTTCATAGAGTAGAATGGGGACATGAGGCACTCAAGCTCCAATTCCCATGAGGCACCTGGAGTGAAATTTCCAATGGAAATTAATTAGTTTTCAGCTGAAATTTTTCCGTTTTTGGACAAAAACCAGAAAGTTTTCAGTTGCTCAGGTTTTTTGACAAAAGTAAAAATTTTCTGCAGAAAGCAGACATTTCACACAAAACCTCAATTTGACACCCAGTTTTGATGGAAAATTTTTGACCAGGCCTAACTATAACATCTGTAATACCTATGCTAGCTTTAAACAGACAACAGCTTTTTACAGTTACTTGGTGTTCCAGGCTTTGATTAATTTATATTGGATTGTTTTCAGTTATTCCAACTGGGGGGGGGGGGAGGGAGGGGACGAGACGGCGATGGAAAACAGTTTTTAACATTATTTAATTTTTTTTTCCTGTGCATCTTGAAAATGTTCTTATTAGACTAGTGACTTAAATATAAAGAGAAAGAGTCTCAACTGATGTAAATCCCTGTAAGCTCTGTTGAACTGAAGTCAGTGGAGCAACACTTAGTTACACCAACTGAGAATCTTACCTAAACTTCTATACAAAGTCACTTTTTTAAAACAGTAGCATCTATTATTACTAATGCAAAGTCTTCCCCTTACCTGCAGACTAACTGGAAGGATATATTTCCTCTAAGACACACCCATCACCGTAAAGTCAGATAACAGAACTATAATTCAGGAAAGAGTTGGCATAGAGAAATACAAGCTGGTAAGATGAAGAGAAGCACCATTTTGTGTGGATTACTTATAAAAGGTTAGTAGCTCTTTCAAGATTTTCATATCCATTCCCATTTTACAAAATACATTACATTCTTTGTCCGCGCCACCATGAAAAAGAACCGATGCAATTTTTGAAAAGAGCCGAAAAGAAATACAACCGCTCCCAGAAATTTCATCTAGTGACACACTGAGAGTAATATACTCCGCTTTGAGCTAAGATCAGCTATCTTTTACTACACTAACGGGCTGAGTATGGGAATACATATCATGCCGGCCAGTTGTCCGTCGTGGCTAGAAACACTTGTCGAAGGTATAAGACAAACCTGTGGCTACTGATTGTTGGAAAATTCAGGACACTACATATGGAAATTGGTAGCAAGCTTTCCTGAGCTCCAGGCAGTTTACGAAGGCTGCACAGCGTCAGCATTTGTAAGGGGTTCAGAAAAACTCAGTGTGTGTTCCTTTCTGCAGCGTCCCTGTATCTGCACAGTTTGTGGCGCTGCTGATTTCTGCTTTGAACGGTATTCATTTGCTATAATTTTTCTACAGCCTTTCCTGCAACTGGAGAAAATACCCAAATTACCTTTTGTGTTTCCCCAGACGTGCCCAGTGCACCCGTTTCTAAAGAAGATCTTTTGAAGATCTGTGCAGAACAGCAAACAGCTGTTGGGCTGGCAGGGCCGGCTCTAGGCACCAGCAAAACAAGCTGGTGCTTGGGGCGGCACATTTTTAGGGGCGGCATGGCCGGCGCCAGAATGCCACCCCTAAAAATGTGCCCCGGCCACCCTAGCTCACCTCCGCTGCTGCTGCCACGGCGCGCAAAACAGCTGATTCGCGCGCCGCTACTCGCCCTCCCTCCCAGGCTCTCAAGCCTGGGGGGAGGAGGCAGGGCTGGGGATTTGGGGAAGGGGCGGAGTTGAGGCGGGGCCGGGGGTGGGGTAATTAAAGAACGGGGGGCGGCCAAAATTGTTTTTGCTTTGGGCCGCAAAAATCCTAGAGCCGGCCCTATGGGCTGGATCCCAAACAGACATTTGGATCCAGGGGCCATTATCCTGAAGTTCAGGGGGATTTGGATTCAGGGTTTTAGTTCTGGCCTGGCCCTTCCCTAACAACAGATCGGAAGCTTTGCCTTGGGCAGAGACATTGGAGACAGACATTTCTAGTAAATCCTGATGCTGTGTGGCGGACAAGAAACAAGAGCACATTACCCTCTATGCCCCCACTTAAAGAGGGATAGGTTGTTTTGCAGGAGATGCTTCTGGGTAGTGCAGAAAGTAGGCAGAAAATGGACCCTTTCCATTTCACTTGCCTGGTTTGGACCCAGCCCAGGTGTTTGTGTTCAGCCCAAGCCGCTGCACTGCCCGATCCTATCGCCGCCAAGCAGCAACGGCAGACGCTCGCTACAGTGAGTATCATTCCTCAAACAGACTGAATGATGCTAAACGTAAGGAGATTGCTTTTCAGTGAACCTGATGATATGCAGGACTGGCCTAGAAAAAAGAAAGGGAGAGAATCTAAAGTCTAAACAGATCTGTAGTTTCTCTGCTAGTTCAGAGCGTAATCAATTTTCAGCCTTTGGAAACTAAAATAGCTCTGATTTATAAAATTCCACGGTTCTCTTCTTTTCTCCTTTGTGTCTCCATTGCCTTATGAAGAGCTCAGAGTGTTTGCACTTTGTGATCCCCATGTTGGTATCCATAATAACAAAGCTTTGCACTCCCATAGCACCTTCCATCTAGGGATTTCAAAGATATTGAAGACAGGTGGCCCTGGGGGCCTGACACGTGGGGAGGTTAAGTGACTTGCACAAGGTGACAGAACAAGTCTGTGGCAGAGATATTGGGAGAAATCCTGGCCCTGTTGAAGACAATGGCAAAACTCCTATTGACTTTAATGGAGCCAGGCTTCCACCCGTAGAACATAAGTGTGAAATTAAATGTGTGGTGTTTGTGTCAGCGCAGTGCTATGTTAACAAACCATGAGAAGCAGCTTGGCCTACAAGAGTGAGTTCTGCTTCTTGCTCTGTGATTTTGTGGGCATCTCACCTTATCTCTGCCTCAATGTCTCCAGCTAATAATAATTATCTACCTACTTCACAGGGGTGTTTCAAGCCAGCGTTGGTCCAGGACTTTGAGAGCTGTATACGTACAAAGTCTCATTATGTCGCTTTTCACAACTGAGAGGAATATTCCCTCATAGTTATGGTTAAACAATGAAGGTCAAGCAACCTTGATTTGTTTTGATTATTGTAAACTATCATGAAATATCAATTTACTTTGTGAATGTTGGTTTCACAAACTCCATGTTTGGCGTGCCTGGGAAGAAATAGTCTCCCGATGATGAAGAATATACTTTCATTTCTGCAGTTCTGTGTTTCTCACATGACAAAGAGAAACTGTATATGAAGCCCAGTTCTTTGTTGCCTCTATGGGAATAAAGGAAATGTATTGTCAGTTTCTTTATTTCTGATCCCAGTTTAACCCGTCAATCATCTGAGTTGGATCAAAGAAGTCACCTTAAATAGGTATGAATGGAGACTTCTGATTTATCTTTATTATAGGAGCTAAATAAATGGCTTGTTTGTGCTTGTAAATCATAACATTTCTAAATATATTAGTCTCTCAGCCAACCTGCTGACTAATATAATGTCTATTTGTATGGATTTTTTTTCCTTTTCAGATTACTTTGGTATTGACTTATTTCAAATCATAATGCACAAAATCACAGACTCTAAATGGACGGGTTTAACACGGTGATTAATGAAAATATAATCCCAGCTACTGTACAGCCATCAGAAACCAGTTAGCTAATTAGAGTAATCACAGAGGTGGAAATAATTAAAAGAACATAAAATAGAGGTGGAGTAATAACAACATTTTCCTTAGTGACTTAAAACTGGTGAGCAAACGATTAAACTATAATCAGTTTACTGAGGGGGGTAGGAATAAATGAAGAGTGGATAGCAAAGGACTTACGAGTAGCTACAGCAAATAAGGACCATTAGACTGCACCAGAGAACGTAAGCAGAGTGGACTAGAGAGACTGCAACGAGATACAGTAGAAGGAATAATTGTACCAAGGACTGTTGGTGACCACTGAAAATGCATCCTTAATATATAATCTTTGCCTGTGTATCTGTTATATAGCATCTTCCATCTAAGCTCAGCGTGCTTTATAAATATGAATTAATTCAGCCTCATAGGAAGTATTATTGTCCCCATT